TGCGGAAGGTGACTACGAACACCTTACACACCTTACACTTATACGCTTATAGTATATACAATCCTATCCCCTTTACCTCGGTCGTGACATTATTCACCAAAAGTTTACTTGTCAGGAATAACACGATGACAGTATCTGAGATCCATCATGGTTTTTGTCAGGCCTCGTTTTTATCTTTAGTTTGCTGTTGGATATTTTGTGAACTGTTATTTGTCTATCATCGTGTCTCGTTTTTCCATATTTTATATGTATTTGGATTTTCGTTTAGCCATGTTTTATATACATTCGTTATGGCCATGTTTTATATGTATTCGTTTGACCATTGTTTTATATGCATTTGTTTGACTATATTTTATATGTATTCGTTTGGCCATGTTTTATATGCGTTCGTTTGGCAATGTTTTATATGTATTCGTTTGGCCATGTTTTATATCTATTCGTTTTGGCCATGTTTTATATGTATTCGTTTGATCATGATTTATATGTATTCTTTTGGCCATGTTTTATATGCATTCGTTTGACTATATTTTATATGTATTCGTTTGGCCATGTTTTATATGCATTTGTTTGGCAATGTTTTATATGTATTCGTTTGGCCATGTTTTATATCTATTCGTTTTAGTCATGTTTTATATCTATTCGTTTTGGTCATGATTTATATGTATTCGTTTTGCCATGTTTTATATGTATTCGTTTGGTCATGTTTTATATGTATTCGTTTGGCCATGTTTTATATGCATTCGGTTGGCCATGTTTTATATGTATTCGTTTGGCCATGTTTTATATATATTCGTTTGGCCATGTTTTGTATGTATTCGTTTGGCCATGTTTTATATGTATTCGTTTGGACATGTTTTATATGTATTCGTTTGGCCATGTTTTTTTATGTATTTGTTTGGCCATGTTTTATATGTATTCGTTTGGCCATGTTTTATATGTATTCATTTGGCCATGTTTTATATGCATTCGTTTGACTATATTTTATATGTATTCGTTTGGCCATGTTTTATATGCATTTGTTTGGCAATGTTTTATATGTATTCGTTTGGCCATGTTTTATATCTATTCGTTTTAGTCATGTTTTATATCTATTCGTTTTGGTCATGATTTATATGTATTCGTTTTGCCATGTTTTATATGTATTCGTTTGGCCATGTTTTATATGTATTCATTTGGCCATGTTTTATATGCATTCGTTTGACTATATTTTATATCTATTCGTTTGGCCATGTTTTATATGCATTTGTTTGGCAATGTTTTATATGTATTCGTTTGGCCATGTTTTATATCTATTCGTTTTAGTCATGTTTTATATCTATTCGTTTTGTTCATGATTTATATGTATTCGTTTTGCCATGTTTTATATGTATTCGTTTGGTCATGTTTTATATGTATTCGTTTGGCCATGTTTTATATGTATTCGTTTGGCCATGCTTGTATGTATTCGTTTGGCCATGTTTTATATATATTCGTTTGGCCATGTTTTGTATGTATTCGTTTGGCCATTTTTATATGTATTCGTTTGGCCATGTTTTATATGTATTCGTTTGGCCATGTTTTTTATGTATTTATTTGGCCATGTTTTATATGTATTCGTTTGGCCATGTTTTATATGTATTCATTTGGCCATGTTTTATATGAATTCGTTTGGCCATGTTTTATATGTATTCGTTTGGCCATGCTTATATGTATTCGTTTGGCCATGTTTTATATGTATTCGGTTGGCCATGATTTATATGTATTCGTTTGGCCATGTTTTATATGTATTCGTTTGGCCATGTCTTATATGTATTCGTTTTGCCATGTTTTATATGTATTCGTTTGGCCATGTTTTATATGTATTCATTTGGCCATGTTTTATTTGCATTCGTTTGACTATATTTTATATCTATTCGTTTGGCCATGTTTTATATGCATTTGTTTGGCCATGTTTTATATCTGTTCGTTTTAGTCATGTTTTATATCTATTCGTTTTGGCCATGTTTTATATGTATTCGGTTGGCCATGTTTTGTATGTATTCGTTTGGCCATGTTTTATATGTATTCGTTTGGCCATGTCTTATATGTATTCGTTTTGCCATGTTTTATATGTATTCGTTTGGCCATGTTTTATATGTATTCATTTGGCCATTTTTTATATGCATTCGTTTGACTATATTTTATATCTATTCGTTTGGCCATGTTTTATATGCATTTGTTTGGCAATGTTTTATATGTATTCGTTTGGCCATGTTTTATATCTATTCGTTTTAGTCATGTTTTATATCTATTCGTTTTGGTCATGATTTATATGTATTCGTTTTGCCATGTTTTATATGTATTCGTTTGGTCATGTTTTATATGTATTCGTTTGGCCATGTTTTATATGTATTCGTTTGGCCATGCTTGTATGTATTCGTTTGGCCATGTTTTATATATATTCGTTTGGCCATGTTTTGTATGTATTCGTTTGGCCATTTTTATATGTATTCGTTTGGCCATGTTTTATATGTATTCGTTTGGCCATGTTTTTTATGTATTTGTTAGGCCATGTTTTATATGTATTCGTTTGGCCATGTTTTATATGTATTCATTTGGCCATGTTTTATATGAATTAGTTTGGCCATGTTTTATATGTATTCGTTTGGCCATGCTTATATGTATTCGTTTGGCCATATTTTATATGTATTCGGTTGGCCATGTTTTGTATGTATTCGTTTGGCCATGTTTTATATGTATTCGTTTGGCCATGTCTTATATGTATTCGTTTTGCCATGTTTTATATGTATTCTTTTGGCCATGTTTTATATGAATTCGGTTGGTCATGATTTATATGTATTCGTTTGGCAATGTTTTATATGTATTCATTTGGCCATGTTTTATATGTATTCGTTTGGCAATGTTTCGTATGTATTCGTTTGGCAATTTTATACATGTAATCGTTTGGCCATGTTTTTTATGTATTCGTTTGGCCACGTTTTATATGTATTCGTTTAGCTATGTTTTATATGTATTCGTTTGGCCATGTTTTAGATGTATTCGTTTGGCCATGTTTAAGATGTATTCGTATGGCCATGTTTTATATGTATATTGATTTCGGTTGATTTCCTATGTTTTTTCTACATTTTTCGCATGCTCTTTTTGTAAGACTTGTGTACAATACATTTGGTTGAATTTATTTGTATGTATATCTTAAGTCTGGATAATGGCTTAATGTTGCCTTTATGGATAATTTCTTTCAGAACTTCTTCATGGTGTTTTTATGCTAGTATTTTTTCAGAAACTTTTTCTTTTACTGTGTTGAACATTTTTCAAAAGAGGCGAAAGCTACAAACTTGAAAATCAAACTCATTAATCGAGAAAAAAAAACTGACAATGTCATGACAAAAAATCTCAACACGATCAAAAGACAAATAACATGATACAAAACTTAACATAGAAAATCGATGAATGTCGACTAGAAGATGAGGTATGATTGACAATGAGACAATTATCCACCAGAGACCAAATGACGTAGACGTTATCAACTATATGATTGCCAATGAGACAATTATCTCCCAGAGACCAAATGACGTAGATGCTATCAACTATACGATTTGCAAATGAGACAATTATCCACTAGAGACCAAATGACGTAGACGTTATCAACTATATGATTGCCAACGAGACAATTATCCCCCAGAGACCAAATGACGTAGATGCTATCAACTATATGATTGCAAATGAGACAATTATCCCCCAGAGACCAAATGACGTAGATGCTATCAACTATATGATTGCAAATGAGACAATTATCCCCCAGAGACCAAATGACGTAGATGCTATCAACTATATGATTGCAAATGAGACAATTATCCACCAGAGACCAAATGACGTAAATATTATCAATTATACGATTGTCAATGAGACAATTATCCCCCAGACCAAATGACGTAGATGCTATCAACTATATGATTGCCAATGAGACAATAATCCCCCAGAGACCAAATGACGTAGATGTTATCAACCATACGATTGCCAATGAGACAATTTTCCGCAAGAGACCAAATGACGTAGATGCTATCAACTATACGATTGCCAATGAGACAATTATCCACTAGAGACCAAATGACGTAGACATGATCAACTATACGATTGCCAATGAGACAATTATCCCCCAGAGACCAAATGAGGTAGACGTTATCATCTATACGATTGCCAATGATACAATTATCCCCCAGTGACCAAATGACGTAGATGCTATCAACTATACGATTGCCAATGAGACAATTATCCACTATAGACCAAATGACGTAGATGCTATCAACTATATGATTGCCAATGAGACAATTATCCACTATAGACCAATTGACGTAGATGTTATCAACTATACGATAGCCAATGAGACAATTATCGACCAGTGACAAAATGACGTAGACGTTATCAACTATACGATTGCCAATGAGACAATTATCTCCCACAGACCAAATGACGTAGATGCTATCAACTATATGATTGCCAATGAGACAATTATCCACTATAGACCAATTGACGTAGATGTTATCAACTATACGATAGCCAATGAGACAATTATCGACCAGTGACAAAATGACGTAGACGTTATCAACTATACGATTGCCAATGAGACAATTATCTCCCACAGACCAAATGACGTAGATGTTTTCATCTATATGATTGTAAATGAGACAATTATCCCCCAGAGACCAAATGACGTAGATGCTATCAACTATACGATTGCCAATGAGACAATTATCTCCCACAGACCAAATGACGTAGATGTTTTCATCTATATGATTGTAAATGAGACAATTATCTCCCAGAGACCAAATGACGTAGATGTTTTCATCTATATGATTGACAATGAGACAATTATCCACAATAGACCAAATGACGTAGACTCTATCAACTATAGGTCATAAGCATAGTTTTTGTACATTGTAGATGTCTTCTGACTATCTGTGTCGTTTATTTGCTATCTCATTAACTCAAGATATAAATTTTATTTTATTCATATGGTGATTAAAGAACGCAATGCCATATGATTCGTAATAGATTTATAAATATTTACTGAAACGAACATAGTTTATATGCATTAACTAAATAAAACAAAGGTTTTAGCGTAGCTAAATATCAAGCTTCAAATTCCAAGTATTATCTGTATTCAGTTGTTAAATTTTTAAGATAGAGCTAAAAATCAAAATTATGGATCGACGGATCCGACCTAGGTGATCTAAGGATATTCTGTGATACTCTTCGTTCTGAGGGATCAGACGGTTCGCGTGTTCGTCGGTCATGCCTTCGTTCTGATTGATTTTCACTCCGTCTCCTGTTTGGATCCCTGTTGGATTTCCTCTTTGATCCATCATCATCGATCTTGTTCCAAGTAGAACCACTTAACTTCCGGCCTTGTCTGGGTTCTTCGTTCTTTTCAAGCAGCCCGGCAGCTTTCGCTTTCCTGTATGAATGGACAGTCAAACCGAATGCTACACATGATAAAATACAAACAATCAGTGTGAAGCCATAGGTCAGCATGTGTACCAGTGTCATACAATTTCCTCCCATCGCTATACCTGAAGATACAACAATCGGATTTGTAAAACAACACTGTTTATGTAGCGGTACAAAATGTACGAAATGAATTAACATATGCTTTGAGCTCTCAATTAGTTTCAATCAGTTAGTATTGATACAAGAACTAGATATCACAATTTCATATTAAAATCAAATATGTAAACCGCTTGTCGGATTCACTATCCTCGAGTCATATCTATGTTCAGAATATAACGATCTGAACGAATAGTAATTGCCATATCTACTATCACTGAAAATCAAAAGATTCTCATTTTCAGTTGTTTAATATAGAATACCTGGTTTATCTATCTTTGGTTTTCTATTTCTTAACCTTCCCCTAACCTGGTTTGGTTACAGAATACTTATAAATTACAGAATACTTGGTTTATCTATCTTTTTCTTAACCTTCCCGTAACCTGGTTTGGTTACAGAATACTTATAAATTACAGAATACTTGGTTTATCTATCTTTTTCTTAACCTTTCCCTAACCTGGTTTGGTAACAGAATACTTATAAATTACAGAATACTTGGTTTATCTATCTTTTTCTTAACCTTCCCGTAACCTGGTTTGGTTACCTTAACCTTCCCCTAACCTGGTTTGGTTACCTTAACCTTCCCCTAACCTGGTTTGGTTACCTTAACCTTCCCCTAACCTGGTTTGGTTACCTTAACCTTCCACTAACCTGGTTTGGTTACCTTAACCTTCCCCTAACCTGGTTTGGTTACCTTCCCCTTCCCCTAACCTGGTTTGGTTACCTTCCCCTTCCCCTAACCTGGTTTGGTTACCTTAACCTTCCCCTAACCTGGTTTGGTTCCTTAAAGTAGTTTACATCCTCGTAGTTAAGACACTGGTGGATAGTTGGTAGATAGTTTTCTCATTGGCAATCATGCCACATCTTCTTACTTTATACAGCAGTACAACATTAGAACAAACCGTAAAAATCAAGTTGAAAACGTATCTTTTTCCACCTGTTTTACAGCAAAATAATATTTTATTAAGAACACTTCTTAAAAATTATGAAATTCAAAATTAATTATCACAATAGTAATTATAAAATTCATAATTAATTATCACAATAGTAATTATAAAATTCATAATTAATTATCACAATTATAGTAATTATAAAATTCATAATTTGTGACTCTCTTAATATAATGCAAAACTTAGGTGAACTTGTTTTCAAATATTGCACACACAAGAGAATAGTAGATTTTACATAGGAAATGAATTAATGGTCAACCTGCTAAAACAGATAGACCACTTTCTCTTTTTTACTTTAATTCTGAAAAAAAAATGTATTCTTACAAGAGCTATATCCCTTTGGGAAGTCTTAGTACCTTCAACAAGGGCAACAGAAATTAAACATCCGAATTATTTGCAAAGAATTCCGCTCAAACCGGTGCAAGGGGCCGTCTAAACTTGCTGTGATGTAAGTGTTTTTTTGCTCCGTGTTGAAATCTTACTGTGACTTTCAGATGAAGAACAGCAACAAAAGCGCTGTACGATTGCTGTTTGTGTGTTTTTTTTTTTGCTGTGCATGTACCGACTTTGTGTCATAGATGGATACCCTATATCGTTTGTTTTTCTATTATATTAATTTGACATTGTATGTACATATTTTAAACTTCGTTAACATTTTTGAAATGTTGTCAGAAATGTACAAACAAGTTGTTTTCTTTAAAAAAAGAAATGTTATCGTGAACCTAAATGGCTGTTTGGTATATAATATAAAAATAAGAAGATGTGGTATGATTGCCAATGAGGCAACTCTCCACAAGAGACCAAATTAACACAGACACTAACAACTATAGGTCACCGTACGGCCTTCAACATTACAAGGTTGAAGTTTGAAGGCGCGCCAACCCTCCCCCTAATCTGGGTCAGTGGTGTAACAGTACAACATAAGAACAAACTATAATTATATCTCTGTTTTGTGTATTTTTCCTTTGATCTTTTTTGTGATAATTTTTCATATCATGCTACTCGCTTGAGATAGAAAATTATCGTCAGAAACTAAGAGCGCACGTGTCAATTACACTGGTTTATATGGTTTGTTCATTGGCTATCATATTCAAGATATGATTGATCTCAATTTATTTATAACCAAGGCAACAACTCCAATCTAGTCTAAGAGTAGAAACAATTTGAAACCTCAACTTTATACTTAAACTAGTTTGTTTAAACAAATCTCACTTTTTCATTTCATAACTTGTCCTTTTGTTTATTAGCCTAAATATAATGAAGTTGTTGATTTGTTGTTTTATACGATTGTGTGACAAACAGAAGAAAACACGAATAACAATTCAGTATAGCTCATGTCCAGTACGTAATTTAAAAATCCTGTTTTTGCAATCGCATGACCGTTGAATACGGATATTCATTTTAAGATAAATAATTTGTTACTAAGATGTGCAATTTTTTGCTTATGAATACAAATGTTTTTGTATCGCCTAATTTTTAAAGATATCGTCATATTTTTTCGCTTAAAACGCTCTAGACCTCTTTGTGTTAGGGATGAGGGATCGATAAATACCCTGCCAAGTCCGGTCTGTGTTTTTGTTAAATGTTTTTCTGCTTTGTATCGATCTGATGAGTGAAGCATTTTTCAACTGATTTTTATAGTTTGTTCTTATGTTGTGCTGTAACACCACTGTCCCAGGTTAGGGGGGGATTGAGCGCTCTCAAACATCCCCGCCATATTCTTTATGTGCCTGTCCCAAGTCAGGAACCTGTAGTTCAGTGGTTGTCGTTGGTTCATGTCTGTCATATTTGTTTTTTGGTAAACTATTTTGTTATAAATTAGGCCGTTTTTTCTCATTTGAATTGTTTCATATTTTTCATGTCGGGGCCTTTTATAGCCGACTATACGGTATGGGTTTTTCTCATTGTTGAAGGCCGTACGGTTTCCTATAATTGATTACATATATATACAATTTCTTTTAACTTTGGTGGATAGTTGTTCCATTTGCAATCATGCCACATCTCCTTATTTTTATAAAGATCCTCTAAATTCGCTTATGAATACAGATTGCCTCAACTCCTTGAAAACAAATTTACGGAATCCCCAGAAACTAGCACTGATTCTTCTTCAGGTTGGACATGAAGTTGTGCACCTGCTACTTTAACTTTTAGTCTGATATTTTGTGTATGTGTTAGGTGTGTGTGTTGGGGTGGGGGGGGGGGGGGGGGGGGGGGGTCAAATACCACAAAGAATATCACTCATAGTGTCTGAAAATTGTTCATATTAATAGAATTATTATAAGGACTCCAACACATATTCATTTATGCACTGTTTCAATAAATTCTGTATTTTACACACCTTGCAAATTTTGTCGCAATGTCCAGGGTTAATTTGCATTTTTTTTTATAAGATTAAGTATGGTAATTTGTATATATAAAAAGAGGAAGATGTGTTATGATTGCCAATGAAACAACTCATGAAACTGCCTGTCATCGAGTTGTTGTTATTGCTTTTGCTCCTTATTTATATGTTGATAGAAAGATAAAGCTTTTTAAAATTACTAAAAATGGAAGTTCGTTATATCATCTATGACTCTAAAAAAAAATTTATAACTTAAAAATAAAATGTTTCATTGTAGCATCTTATATATATGCATTTTACACATCTCAACGATTCTAATTCAGTTTGTTTTTCTTTAATCTATTTTCTATTTAATTTGATTTGTATTTTGATAACGATAAAGGAGAGTTTGTTCCGATATTTTTCCAATTAAAGTAATGAACTTCTAATAATAATTCCATTTTTGCTATTTTAAATGAAAAAGGAACAATTTTAGAAACTTCTTGTTTGTTCGCATCTTTCCTGGGCGTAGAATTTTAACTGCTGCTTAAACATATTTTGCTCTTTTTTAATCACGCTAAAATGGCTCAGTTTTAAAACGCCCTCCCTATCCATTGACCGTGACTTAATCTGCAATGTGAACCCCATGCAGCTTGTAATTTAGAAAACTTAACATATGCGACGCTAATTTAATTAACTACTGATGTAGGATATTAGTCCGCCTCGATTAACACTTATCTCTATAGCAACTGTAAAACGCTAATGCATATTCATTAGATCAATTAATTACCTATTACGCAGGCGGCTATAGAAAGAACAGATGTATTTCGAAAAGACAGAAGGCATTTCCGGTATTCCGAAAGACTACAACATCAATTAATATATATGCGTGAACCCTCAGGGTTCACGAAAAAATGATCTTTTACAAAACGTAGGTTCTGGTCACATAGCATGAAGAACAAATAATATTTACCGATCTGACCATCACATACGATATACTCGACACACGTGCTCTGGTAGTATGTTGTAGCTCTCTTATCTGAAATAGAAAACTGATTGATAAACTATCGTTCACAGCCGAGTAGATATCCCTAATGTGTCACAAGTTGAGGCACTCAAATATAATATGTAGACAAAAATATCTTTGCTGTGTTATTCAACATGTTGCAATTTTAAACATGGCATAACTTTTAGTGTTAGATTAATATTGAAGAGCAGAGAATCATAGAATAAAGGCATTGTTGTCTCTTTGATACATTCCCCATTTCCAATTTTATTAGAACTATGGAGTTATTTAATGTATGCAAAGAACTGAATTTTCAAAGATTTTTGTGTGTGAAAGAAGGGATTTGTTTTTACCTCAAGAAACTGCACCACACAGGGCTTTTCAGGATATGAATCTCACTTCGTACCCAGAAAATTTTACCACATATGAGAAAAGGTCTCAGCTTTGAAACGAGCCATTATACATATCAAAGTTTACGATACGGACAGATGAATTGAGGAAAAGGCTATCATTGCCGTTAATTTATAATAACATAGTTACCCAACACGTGCAATATATCAAATAAGCTCTTGTTAATTATCAATAAATTTAAGCACAATTTAGAGAATCGACGAAAAAACACCCGGTTCGGTTTTGATGTTACGGGCCTTGTTTTAAAATTGGGTTGGAATGTGCCAATTCGTCATAAAGGTTAACATTATAAAAAAAAAAATTTGGGCCGAATTGTCTACATTTGACGAACTTTAAATATTTATTTGTAATTGCACACTTTTCTGAATTATGGAGTTATGTGTAACTATAATTATGAAAAAAAGCAACTTTAAGCAACGTATACTAAATAATATTTATTGTCTTTGACCAATTTACGTGAGATTACCACAGTAAAATAAAGAATTGATGGACAAAAGCTGACTTGCGATGTTTTCGATTTTTCATTTTGGAAACGAAATGATATTAAAAAAAACATGTGAATTTCAAAAAGGAGAATGTAAATTTCATATGATATACGATAATTCCAGATCGGTTTTATCAAATGGACAGAAATGTGCTACCGAAGATATCGCAACCTCATTTTGATGAGTTTATGGTTTATGGTTAGCGTGTTTAGTCAAACAATGATACACGTATATCATGACGTCACGTCAGGGCTCTTTTAAGATTACTTATATTATAGCATTTTTTTAATATACATCTACATAAAAAAAGAAGAATGAAATCAGAACTTACTTAAATAATCAGCTGGGTCTTGGCAAACGATATCCCCGCCAATGGTAATGTTATTTTCTTTGGAATACTCTATAAACCAGAGATACCCGCATGTGCAGAACCAGCTGATTCCATACAAATCCACTTGAGACAATGCATCTAGGCCTGTAAACATATTAGTCTCTAGTTTAGTCATTATGTTGTCATTTAGAGAGATGTACTTCAGCTTTTTTAGAGCAGAAAACATGTCGGCATGCAGCACCATTAAATGTGCACGTTCAAGGCGCACTCGTTCCACTTCAAGCAAATTAAACAGAGCCCCGGTTGCCATTGTGCTACCTACTACCTGTGAGTTTATGATGGCGAATTCTCCGAGTGGTTCACTGTATTGGGTCATCTTTTTCACATTTAGTCCCTTGAAACCATCAGGATGCATGTTAGTTATGGATCCACCGGTGATATGAAACAAATTAACATCGCCAAATCCGGAAAAAACGTCCGATGGAATCGATAGTAATCCACAATCGATAATCTTAACCTCGTCAATAAAGGAGAAATCAGTAAAAGCAGCACTATCTAGAATAATATCAGAGTTTGCATAACATATCATATAAAGACTTGGAACATATTTTGAATCGAAGTTTCCTGTGTTGATACTCGTGAATCCGGAAAACGTATTTGCTGCTATTGTTCCGGATAGTTCTTCCAAAACTATTCGCTGTGGTTCTACGCTGTCAAAGTCAGCGTAGGCCAAAGGCAGAGACCAACTTCTTGCACTACAAGTATAAAGAATTTGTGTTGAATCGTAAGTACAGCCAACAGGAAGTGCAGACAATGGTGTCAACACACAGAAACATAAAGACGCCACTATTGCGGAATACATCTTTTGTCTTTTTTACTTCCTGATAGTATTACTAATTACAACAGATCCACATCTTATCATTCAATTGTGGGGTAAATACTTAACATAAAGAATTCTTTATTGATTTGGTTTAGTGTAGATCTGGATTAAAGCTGTATCCGATTACTGTTTTAACTTACTATTTTAATCATTTGAACATGCCAAGATTAAATGGTGATACACAATATTACACCGGTAAATTGCTGTAACAACTTGTATAAGCTAGTGGGCGTCTTTCTATTTGCTGTTTTATATACAAACCAAAAAGAACTTGAAAAAACTTTCGTCCATTACAGACATTATTTCTTCATAGCCAAATAAAATCTGAGATATAAAAAGAGGACTTTTTACTTATTAAAAGAATCAAGTTTTAAAACCAAACAGTTAATATCTAAATTTAGGGTAGTGATCATAACCTAGAAGTTGAAACGGGAAGACATAAGAATATAGCCCGAGACCAAAGAGCTTATCGATCATATAGGACAAAAAGTAATCTTTAGAGTTACGAAAATGAACATGATGAAGTTACATATAAAATTAAGAAGATGTGGTATGATCGCCAATGAGACAACTCTCCACAAGAGAGCAATTGATATAGAAGTTAACAACTATAGGCCAACGTACGGCCTTTAACAATGAGGAAAACCCACACCGCATAGTCAGCTATAAAAGGCCCCAAAATGACAAATGTAAAAAATTCAAACGAGAAAACTAACGGCCCTATTTATGTACAAAATAGTGAGCGAAAAACAAATATGATATTCAGCAACAAACGGCAACCACTGAATTGCATGCTCCTAACTCGGGACAGACAAATACATAATGTGGCGGGGTTAAAATAGTTTGAAGACGCCAACCCTCCCCTATACTGGGACATTGGTGTAACAGTACAGCATAAGAACAAACCATGAAAATCACTTGAAAAGGGCGTAACTCATCAGAAAGATAGAAAGCAGAAAGACATCTAACAAAAACACAGAACGGACGGGTCAAGGTATTTTTACATCCTCACAACAACCATTAAAAGTTACTATCATGTTCTTTTTGATATGTCTAAACTTGTAATTCTTGACTGTTGTGTTTTTACTGTGTTATACATTGTGATTTTGCTTGACCCATTTGGGTGTAATTTGCGATTTATTTTTTAATTGACAGAATATTGAATTACAGCTTGTACTTATTTCATCCTATTATTTTGTTTAACAGAGTAGATCGCCAACAACGACACCACTTGTGTGTTAATCAGACAAATTTTACACAGTTCTCTGCAACTGAAACCGTTCTTATTCATTGCATATAAATCAGTCCTACTTCATCCTTCCGTTGTCTGCTTATTTTTCACTATCATTTTATTAGTTAAAGGGCTGCCGCGTTTGCGAAAGTACAAACAGTTCTGTACGGTTTAAAAACTAAATACTAGTAGTAGTAGAATTGAGATCAATACACTAATCAGTTTTCTTAAAGTTCAGTTGAATAAAACTTTGGCAACTTACTTTGAGGCGATAGTATCCTAAAAAACGTATCCTTTCGAGTGACGTAGAATTCTGGCCGTGATGTGGTCAATATACGTTATATTTCATTTAATTTGATTTCGAACAGGGATAGAGTTCATAATCGTTACGCCGGTGCATATATGATGAAAAACATCAAAAGACAAGCAAACTGGTACCATTAAAACGTTTAATCCCGCTGCAAATGTTTGCACCTGTCCAAAGTCAGGAATCTGATTACAGTAGTTGTCGTCTGTTTATGTAGTTCATACGTGTTTCTCGTTTCTCGTTTTTATATAGATTAGACCGTTGGTTTTCCCGTTTGAATGGTTTTACACTTAGTCTAGTAATTTTTTGGGGCCCTTTATAGCTTGCTGTTCGATGTGAGCCAATGCTCCGTGTTGAAGGCCGTACCTTGACCTATAATGGTTTACTTTTATAAATTGTAACTTGGATGGAGAGTTGTCTCATTGGCACTCATACCACATCTTCCTATATCTATGATTTAAGAAAATTCATCCCCTTTAAATGTCAAAAATCTATACCATGCACTTATCCTATGTTATAGATTCTAACATACTGTGGCCATCTGTTTGCAGCGCTTTTTCTTTATCATGTTTGGAGAAACGTTCAAAACTGAAAGAATGCAACAACTAATTTTTAAATATTGATAAATATAAATTATATTATTATGTGGATAAACCTTTTCATAGTGACTCCAACCTAACAGCATAAAAAGATCAACAATGGAAATATATATATATATCTTAGGTTACATAATGTATGATGATGATTGGTGGATGTTTAACGTTAAGTGTCATATTAAATAATACTTTTTCAGGTATGCAGGACGAGAATTAACATGTTATATGAATATGAACCCTGTTTTGTACTAGACAGACATGCTGACCGAGTTTTTACGTCCTAGTTTACAAGCTAAGTACCATCTTCAGTAAGAAATGTCACCTTACTCGCACGTATGGCTCCAAATGGATTCTTATCCTCGGCCTCCCATAATTAAAATCATTTCCTGGAATAAACCAGAAACCAGGAACATCATTTATATATATGTTAGCAAGAGTAGGGCTTAAAGAATCCACCTACCCAAACTCCTCTGTGTATACCAAATTAGTCAGTAAAACAGTTATTAATTTTCAGTACTGAATTTGCCTTATCAGTTATATCATTAATTTCGTAATAACTTACGACTAAAACGCAATTTTTAATATTTTCTATATGCGTTTTATCTTCAGGTTCTTTCAAAGTGCCTTGAAACTGGAAGTGTTCAATTTTGGGGTTCAAAATTATTGTTGCTACATGTACATGTACTAATGTTAGTATTGGCAAAATTATCATCTTCTTTCAACAATTGCTTGAATTCAATCTTGAGGGTTTTGATGTCCATAACCGAACAGCCATTTGAACAATTTTAGGATCAACGGTGCCAGAGGGTGTTGTAACCTCAACTTTTATCTTACCTCCAATACATTTATAGGAATATGATTGGTCAAAAGTAACCGCGTGGAGACCGTGTATATTTCATATTAGGTTAGTAGTCGGGGCTTATTTCAATCCACGGTTAATAGTGGTGTTACGTCCCTTTATAAAAACAAAACGGTGTTGAGGAAAAATCTGAAAGGTTTCAACAGACGAAGAAATTGATGATGAACGATTGGAATAAATTCATAAAACACATTTAAAGCTAACAAGTTGTTATTGTTGGCATTTGTTTTTGTATAGACCAGTGGAAGTAGGTTCTTAATACTAAGTATAGAAGACGTAATCACTTTGATAGGCCACTAGTCTAAATATCATATGTTAAAATAGTCGGTAAGATAAATTCGTTACACAGTGTGCTATTGACCTAATACGATATATATGGGGTCAGTAAGTTCCATGTGGGGATTCGAGCTTCGCTCTCACCTCATATGGAATTTACTGACCTTATATATACCGTATTAGGTCACTAGCACACTATGTAGCTAATAATACACAGGGATAAGCCAACCTCCTATTGGTTTTCAGAAATCGCTAGAACAATTAAGAATTAAGAATTACTCCTGAAAGACGATGATATGAGCATCCTTTAACCATAATCTGGTAGTCTTTTGGCTCGCCCAAAATATAACCCAAAATATATTATTGATAGTTTTTTGACAAGTTTCATATTTATATTAATGTTTGCTTACATGTATGTTTGAGAGAAGATGAAATCATCAACCATCGTAATTGAGAGGGGGCATAGCTGTTTCAAGAACCAATGTTTGGATATCACATGATTTTGGGGCATTCTTATCAAATGCTTTGTTTAAATGTGGCTCCATGTTTGAAAATATATGTAGTCATCATATTTAATTCCAAAACAAAATCACAAACCAATAAATCGACTAGAAGAAATTTGTTCTTCAAATTATTTTTAAGACTTTTTATTTAATTTTATATCATGTTTTATTTTCTTGTAATGGTGGCAACTGTACATATAGTGGCCTAAGTACTTCATCTACAGTAACGGTATTGTGAGTTCGAACCCTGCACGTGGCAGGAGCGTTCGATTCTAATTTTAATTGACTAGGATTGTAGGTTTTACTGCCAAAGGTCGTTGGTTATCGCCGAGCACTCCGGATTCCTCCACCAATAAAAACTGATCACCATGTTTTAGCTAAATAGTGGCGTTAATACCAACAATCAATCAATCGATCAATTAAAGTGATGTTAATTTGAAGACGGGTATCGCACAAAGCGTTTCAAAATTACCCCCAAAAGATTAAAACCAAGTATGTTTTTACTTAGTCATTGTGTTTCAGAGGAAAAGATTAACTATATTTACAACAGACTTATAAAGATACACGACAGGCGACATTGATGGAAAAACTTCACAAAAAAACTTAACTGAAGCTGCAATACATTTCACTATCAAACTTGTTAAAACTAGCATTTTCCTTGCCTTGAGAGAAGTAACAACACTAAAATTGCAAACAGAATATAATTATAAATAAAATCATACACATGAATTCGTCAATTAAAACAACAATTAATGGCAACGAACAGTAATACAAATAAAATGTTCACCTAGGATTAGAGGTTATTTCGAGAGTACTAAAATTCGTTGATTAAAGAATACATTTGTGATTTTAATGATCGTGAACACTTGGTTTAATGGTTTTGACGAAATCTGCATAAAAGTTAATAAGGAAAACTGTATTTTATTAAACTTTGAAATTCCGCTTTTTACCAAACAAAACCATGCAAATTATTACGCAACGAATGCATCAACAGTTAATAATCATTTTACATTAACATGTATTATCATTTAGTTCTTTATACATGTAGTTGTATATCACGTTGATTAAGCTTCCGTATCTATGGCATCCATGTTACTAATAGTAGCTCCAGATTGTTTCTTAGGCAACGGACCAGCCTGTAATTCTTCTAAAGACGGCGGCTCTCGTTGATTACCAGAAATTCTGTTTTGGCTCATGTTCCTGCTAGGCGATTGTTCAGGCTTGTTTGGTTCTATGGTATCACTGACTTGCCGCTTCGTGTGGATAATAAGACCAAGAGCTGCACAGGATATGACGAGCGTGATTAACAAGAGAATGTAGTTGATCAGCTCGAACATACTCACACACGTACTACCAATACCAATACCTATCATTAAAGAAAAATATTTCTAATAGTTTGCAGAAAATAATGTATTACAAGTACCGACTTAGTGCAACGTTGTTTAATATAATTATACAGGCGCGGACTCAGACCGGAGCACACCTGGTGCCTTCCCCCTAAAACAAGACAACAAATGTAACTTAAAGGTAAAATTTCAGCCATATTTTTTGTCAAAATATAGTTCTCTAACTTCTTATTCTTAGGAGCCCCCCACCCCCATCAAAACCAAATCCTGGATTCGCGTCTGTTATACATTTAACATGTTTATCATTTTCAATGTACCTCTGTTTGGCTGCTTAAAAAGCCTGATATTTTTCATCCTGTTATCTTTTTCTAGTTTAATTGTCAATGAAATAATTCTTAACTTGCTTTTAGTCTTGTAAGCAAAATTTTAGAATATAGACACTTGACCTTGTTATGTCATTGTGTTGTTGGGTTTCTGTCTCATTGGTGTATACCTTGAATCTGCTTTTATTAAAATTCACAGAACCCTAAATTTTACAGCGCTTTACCTGTTATACTACCACAGACCCCATCTGTCACACACGTGTCCAAGTTGTACTTTGTTGCACGTTTATCTGAAAGAGAAAAGTCGCAATTAAATATTATATCAACATTAGCAATGTATAAACAATATTGCATTACTGTGGAAAAAGGTCCTCGTTTTGACCTTAATTTAGTACCTGATTGATAATTTGTACCTTTATTAACATTTCAAATTATAGGTAAATCATTTCCTTAATGAATATAGGTTAATTTTTGCTATAAATTGTACTGAAAAGCAAATGTATGGAATAATACACAATAAGCTGTACAATACAATAAAGTACCAGAATGAGTATAACTTTGACAAATTACTTTCGTAATCAACTAAGGGATTGCTACAGACAATTACTTACGTTGGTAAACAACAGGAGTGCTACGGACAATGTTACTTATTTACTTAAAAAACAGGAGTGCTACAGACAATGTCACTTACTTTTGTAATCAACAGGAGTGCTACAGACAATGTCACTTACTTTTGTAATCAACAGGAGTGCTACAGACAATGTAACTTATTTTTGTAATCAACAGGAGTGCTACAGACAATTTAACTTACTTTTGTAATCAACAGGAGTACTACAGACAATGTAACTTACTTTTGTTATTAAAAAGAGTGCTACAGACAATGTCATTTACTTTCGTAATCAACAGGAGTGCTACAGACAAGGTTATTTACGTTGGTAATCAACAGGAGTACTACAGAAAATATCAGTTACCTTCGTAATCAACGGGAGTGCTACAGACAATGTCACCTACTTTCATAATCAAAAGTAGTGCTACAGACAATATCACTTACTTTTGTAAATCAACAGGAGTGCTACAGACAATGTAACTTACTTCCGCAATCAACAAGAGCGTATCAGACAATGGAACTTACGTTGGTAATCAACAAGAGTGCTACAAACAATGTCACTTACTTTCGTAATTATTATGAGTGCTATAGACAATATTACTTACCTTCGTAATGAACAGGAGTTCTACAGACAAGTTTATTTACGTTTGTTATCAACATGAGTGCTGCACAAAATATCACTAACCTTCTAATCAACAGGAGTGCTACAGACAATGTCACTTACTTTCGTAACCAATAGGAATGCTACAGACAATGTTACTTACTTTCGTAATCAAAAGGAGTGCTACAAACAATGTTACTTGCGTTGGTTATTAACAGGAATGCTACAGACAATATCATTTACTTTCATAATCAACAGGAGTGCTACAGATAATATCGCTTACTTTCGTAATCAACAGGAGTGCTACAGATAATGTCACTTACTTCCGTAATCAGCAAGAGTGCTACCGACAATGTAACTTTCTTTCGTAATCAACAGGAGTGCTACAGACAATGTAACTTTCTTTCGTAATCAACAGGAGTGCTACAGACAATGTAACTTACTTTCGTAATCAACAGGAGTGCTACAGACAATGTAACTTACTTCCGTAATCAACAGGAGTGCTAGAGACAATGTAACTCACTTTCGTAATCAACAGGAGTGCTACAGACAATTTAATGTCACTTACTTTCGTAATCAACAGGAGTGCTACAGACAATATCACTTACTTTCGTAATCAACAGGAGTGCTACAAACAATATCACTTACTTTCGTAATCAACGGGAGTGCTACAGACAATGTCACCGTTCATAGTGATATTGTTCTCTGTTAGATAGTCCAAGAACCAGAGGTTGTCGCAGGAACAGTCCCAGCTGATGCCATACATATCAACTGTGGCGAGGCCAAAGACATTGGCAAACATGTTGTTCGGGATGGTTGTAAATGTGTTATAGTTCAGGGAAGCATAATTCAACTTTGATAAAGCATAGAACATGTCGGATGTTACTGTTGATAGGTGCGCGTTTTCAATCATCACTCGTTCTATATTTGGCATATTAAACAAAGCTCCGAACGCCAATGCGCCGGAAGTCAGCTCTGAATTAATAATTGCGAACTCTCCTTTAGGATTCGGTACTGTTGTCATTCGATTTACGTTCAGATCTTTGAAACTATCAGCCACCATATTAGAAATGGATCCGCCTTCAATGTGGAACAAGTTGACATCTCCAAAGTAAGAGAATGCTTCAACAGGAATGGATAGAATATCACAGTTTAGGATTTTGACTTCTTCAATGTAACTGAAATCGGCAAACGCTTCTTTGTCCAAAATCAACTGCCCTCCGAAATAACACATGATATACAGGGCTGGCGCATAGTCTGGGTCAAAAGTAGCAGTGTTAATACTACTGAATCCCGAAAATGCAGGTCCATTTGGTGCACTTGATGAGATTTCACCATCAACATCTTTCAGCATCAGTCTTTGCGGCTGAGCTGTGGTAAAGTCAGAAAAAACAAGAGGCAAACTCCAACTTCTTGCGTTGCAGGTGAATAAGATTGTCGATGCATCATAGGTACAACCGGTAGGGTCCCCGGATGATGATGACAAAACAGATATTACAAAAAGAACATGAAAATGAAGACCCATTGTTTTTGTAGTGAAATTATCTTATTATCTTCTGACGAAATATTCCGCCATATTGAAAGCAATACATTAAAAATTCAACCCTTTAAAGGTTAGGATATAAAATACACATAATTCTAATTAAATCCGATTAAGTGAAATATTGGCACAGTGGTAAAATTACAGTAATTTTAAATAATAAGGTCAAAAGATAATATTTAATAAAAATACACCTTAATACGAGAGATTAAATAAACAATAGAATCGTGTTGATTCAGAAATAATGTTAAATAATTGTAGTGTTTCATGTACATTAACATGATTAAATAGATAAACCCCTTATGTCGAAATTGACCTGTTTAGATATACATTCTAGTTATAGCTAGGAGTTGTTATTTATTGTTACTAAATCACATTAAAGTTATTTAAAAAATATGTAAGGAATAACAGAACTGAGGTTGAAAAAGTTGGGGATTTAAAGATCGCAAATGTAGACGCTTCCTGTGTTCGTCACTTCGTCACACACAATTGTGGTCGTATTTATCCCAAGAAAAACGAATCTGAGCTTTCTGAAATTTGGTATTAAGATTCATGTGAGCATGCTACATGTATTATACTGTGGGATGCGTTGTCGCATCAATCGATTATATGTCATATATGTATTTAGTCAGGTAAATACTTTCTTATAGAGGGAACATAATAAATGAGTCAATAGCTGAAAGTACGTCCTATAGTAATTAGCTTCCACGTTAGCTTCGTCCGTCCGTTCATCACAAATCCTTTTCGCTCTTTAACTTTCAATCCCGTTGGAGTTTGGTACTGCAACTTGGCAATTCAATCCAGCACTTCTAGAAGGTGTGTTGCAAACACATATACAGTGAAGTTCAAGGTCAATACTTAGTTCCAACTAATTTTAAAATTATGTCTGCTCTCTAACATTCAAACCCATTGGAAATTTGTCATGAAACTTAAAACGAATATCAACCATTACTAGGACGTGTGTCACGTAGAAAGAAGAAATCCTTACAATGAAGGTCAAATTCAAAAACTTTAGTTCAACTTAGTCATCCTTGGACATTTTAAGAAAAGTCGTTTCCGGTTTAGAACCACTTGGAGATAGAAAATGAAACTTGGCATAATATAAACCCCTTATTAAAGATTAGTCGGTTGCATGGATAAACCATATAGAAAAGGCATGAACAATAATTTAGTTCAACTTAACCATCACATATGTACAAAACTTATTTCAGCTTTATATCTCATTGCAGTTTAATTTTGGGGTTGAAATAAGCGTGAGTAAGAAAATGTCTACCTCCCATAATATAAATATATTTAGATCAAACAACCCATCATAATATTAATTTATATGTTAACTCGAGCAGGGCCCTCTGTGGTGGCTCCAATCACTAACTCGAGCAGGGCCCTCTGTGGTGGCTCCAATCACTAACTCGAGCAGGGCCCTCTGTGGTGGCTCCAATCACTAACTCGAGCAGGGCCCTCTGTGGTGGCTCCAATCACTATCATGTCGTTATCATTTCTGTCATCTTTCTTTATTGTATCTTCTTCTGCATAAGAATAAGGAGATGTGGCATGATTACCCATGAGACAACTATCCACCAAGGTTAAAATGAAGTGAATGTAAGCTATCATAGGCAACCGTACGGCCTTCAACAATGAGAAATTCACATACCGCATAGTCGGCTTTAATAGGCCCCGACATGAAAAATATGAAATAATTCAATTCAGAAAACTAACGGTCTAATTTATAACAAAACAATTTACGAAAAACAAATATGAAAACCATACACCAACGACAACCACGGAACTACCGACTCCTGGCTTGGGGACAGGCATATAAAGAATGTTGCGGGTTTAACATGTTTGTACCTTTTAAAAAACTTATGTCCAGTGATTGAGATGAACAAGGGAAAGTTTGATAACAAAAAGAGTAACGTTACTATATAAAAGTCCTCATAAGCATACTGATGATTCATAAGCCGTTTGTGTGCGTATTGGTCCTTGTTGAGCAAAACATTACAATTAAGAATATAACCTACCGACTCATTCCACCGAAAATATCAGGTATACAAACAAACATAGTAGTTCATAAGTGTTTCTCGTTTCTCGTTTTTGTCGAGCCTTCGACTTTTGTCGAAAAAGCGAGACATAGCGATCCTACATTCCGTCGTCGTCGTCGTCGTCGTCGTCGTCGTCGTCGGCGGCGTCCACAAATATTCACTCTGTGGTTAAAGTTTTTGAAATTTTAATAACTTTCTTAAACTATCCTGGATTTCTACCAAACTTTGACAGAAGCTTGTTTATGATCATAAGATAATATTCAAAAGTAAATTTTGTAAAAAAAAAATTCCATTTTTTCCGTATTTTACTTATAAATGGACTTAGTTTTTCTGCCAAGAAACATTACATTCACTCTGTGGTTAAAGTTTTTGAAATTTTAATAACTTTCTTAAACTATCCTGGATTTCTACCAAACTTGGAAAGAAGCTTGTTTATGATCATAAGATAGTATCCAGAAGTAAATTTTGTAAAAAAAAAAATCCATTTTTTCCGTATTTTACTTATAAATGGACTTAGTTTTTCTGCCAAGAAACATTACATTCACTCTGTGGTTGAAGTTTTTGAAATTTTAATAACTTTCTTAAACTATCCTGGATTTCTACCAAACATGGAAAGAAGCTTGTTTATGATCATAAGATAGTATCCAGAAGTAAATTTTGTAAAAAAAAAAATCCATTTTTTCCGTATTTTACTTATAAATGGACTTAGTTTTTCTGCCAGTTAACATTACATTCACTCAGTGGTTAAAGTTTTTAAAATTTGAACAACTTTCTTAAACTATCCTGGATTTGTACCAAACTTGGACAGAAGCTTGTTTATGATTAAAAGCTAGTATCTAGAAGGAAATTTTGTTAAAATTTTGTTTGATTTTTTCCGTATTTTACTTATAAATGGACTTTGTTTTTCTTCCAGTTAACATTACATACAGTCTGCAGTTTAAGTTTTTAAAACATTTATTAGATTCATAAACTATCCTGGATTTTTACCAAACTTGGACAGAAGCTACTAACAATCAAAAGATAGTATAGAGAGGAATATTTTTATTTATTTTTTTCCTCATTTTTGTTGAGCCTGCGATTAACAGCAAAAGTAGGCGAGACACTGGGTTCCGCGGAACCCTTACGAATTTTTATATAGATTAGACCGTTGGTTTTTCCGTTTGAATGGTTTTACACTAGTAATTTTTTGGGGCCCTTTATAGCTTGCTGTTCGGTGTGAGCCAATGCTCCGTGTTGAAGGCCATACCTTGACCTATAATGGATTACTTTTATAAATTGTAACTTGGATGGAGAGTTGTCTCATTGGCACTCATACCACATCTTCCTATATCTATAGACCAGATATATAGACTTGATACAGACACAAAGACTAAACGTTTTGAATGTTGGCCGACAAGGAGAAATGCACAGGCTCTTTATGATATTCATGATATTTGAACGAAACAATAGAACGACATATGGACTCGATATTTGCAAAACAAGGAGACATTTCAAGCTTTTTACAGACAATATCATTACATTGTTTTATCTTAAAAGTAGATCGACAATAGATAGATACATGTCATATTTGACATGAGGAGCAGGAGCCGTCGTTCATTTTTAACAAATCTAACGCCTCCTTATTTTTTTGACTGTATCAAATAAAGCTATCTAGGTCATGTGCATTTAGTATTTTTGTCTTTCATATAAAATAAGCAGATTTGGTATGATTGCTAATAGAAACTATTCAAAATAGTCCAAATGAAGCGGATTTAAGCAAATTTGCATGTCTATCTTTTCAGAATGTTAGGAATACTGACTTTCCGTGATGATATTGGACCAACAAGCACAACGATACAAACTGTTTGTCTTGATATATATGCCTACAAATAGAACGAATTTGGTTTTTTTTCCTGACAACTGTCGTCTCATTACTTGTTTTGAGTTGTTGTAGATGTCATTACCTCATTTTGTTTTTCTCTGTCTGGGTTTGATTCAAATGTCATGTTTCCGCTTTTTTTCTAGATTTCAGAATTGGTAAAATTTTCCGGTGAGCGCTCGTCTTAAGACCATATCATAGTGGAGTGTCAGTGATATAAACTGTATGTTTTATTAATATTAGTTCATTCACATGTTTTGGAGTTTAGTGTCCATTTTCACTGAACTAGTGCATGTATATATTTTTGTTTAGGGGCCAGCTGAAGCCCGCCTCCGGCTGCGGGATTTTCTCGCTGTGTTGAAGACCCATTGGTATCCTTGGGCTGTTTTCTGCTCTTTGATCGGGTTGTTGTTTCTCTAGTTTATGCCATATGTTTTTTAGAATATGATAATGTCTGATCAGGTATTCCACACGACAGTCGTTTTTGTTATCCTTCCACATTATTTTTATCTACGCAAAGCTTTGGATATTTCAACATTTATATTACTAGAGACCAGTTTTATCTTTCTTAAACCCTTTAAAACTAATAAATGGTATACAAAGGTAGAGAAAATGTCAAGGAGAAAAGTGATATTGCAAGGTTATTTTTAAAAAAGTGATATTACCAAGTTATTTTTAGAATAGTAATATTGCACGGTTATTTTGTGAATATCTGACACAATCGAAGCAACCAATCAAATATAGGGCGCACTACTTCTGGCTTATTGGCAATACTAATATAACAATTGTAGCATTTGTATGTAGTCGATACGAGGATATATATCGACCTAAAGAAGTATATCGACCTAGGACTTCGTCCTCAGTCAATTTACTTCTTTCATGTCGATATATTCTCGTATCGACCTCGTACAAAGGCAATAATTGTATAATATCACACTTCGTGTATGTACTTAAAGGTTGTGACACAATTTGTCGTCTTACTCTGAAAAGTACCAAAATTAAAGCTTATTAGATAAACTAATTTTGAAAGATGTTTGCTCGATTTTGAAGTAATTTCATAAACAAATAATCATTGTTTAGTTGTCACA